CTAATAAAAAGATTAAGGATGGGTCACAAACTGCTATATAAATCCTCCACTTCCTGTTATATTGGTGAATCTCTGATTGGCAGTAACAGTTTGCATTTCACACGTAACTCTCCTTTTTCTCTTCCATTTCTTCTGTGATTCAGACACACAAAAAACCCTAAATTTCAAGCTTTGTCAGTCCATCTTCTTCTTCCTCCATACCCTTATCTCACCAGCTTCTCCATATCTCTCTATAAATTCCAAAAAAAGAAGAAGAGAATGGATAACTCAGACATACTAATGAACATGATGATGCAGCAGATGGAGAAGCTTCCTGACCACTTCTCTAACCCAAACCCTAACCCTAATTCCCATAACATCATGATGGTCTCCGAATCCAACACTCACCCATTCTTCTTCAACCCCAACCATTCTCATACCCATCTCCCACTTGACCCAATCATCTCTCACCACCACCAACCCGGTTTAAATTTCCGGTACGCCCCCTCCACGTCATCATTTCCACCGGAAAAAAGAGGAGGTGGCAGCGACAACAACGCTAACATGGCAGCGATGAGAGAGATGATCTTTCGAATAGCCGTGATGCAACCAATACATATTGATCCAGAAGCTGTGAAGCCACCTAAGAGGAAGAACGTGAGGATCTCTAAGGATCCACAGAGCGTAGCGGCTCGACATCGAAGGGAGAGGATAAGCGAGCGGATTAGGATTCTTCAACGTCTAGTTCCTGGTGGGACCAAGATGGATACTGCGTCGATGCTCGATGAAGCTATTCATTACGTTAAGTTTCTCAAGAAGCAAGTGCAGTCGCTTGAGGAGCATGCGGTGGTTAACGGCGGAGGAATGGCGGTGGTGGCTGGAGGAATACCGGCGGGTGGTGGTGGAGGATACGGAGGAAAAGGTTGTGGAACGATGAGGTCTGATCATCACCAGATGCTTGGTAATGCACAGATTCTTAGATGATGATTTTTTGTTTTTTAATGTATTTCATATATATTAATATGATCAGATGAAAAATATTCTCGGGAGGTGTGGAATTTAAAACTAGTATGAGAACA